TGTTTTACCCTTTCTCTACCTTTCTCTAACAGTGGCCTTAAACATAGGCATGAAGGAAGAACAGAGCCAACACATATGACAGTTCCCTTAAGTATTTTGCTAGCCATTATTTTTTATCATCCCTTAAAGCCTGATGTGGTCTGTCTATCTAGTAACTGCAGTAGATCTGTATTTCCAGCACTTGCCAAATTTCCATTTAAAATCATGCAAGTTTTGGAAATTAATGGGCTTTCTGTCTCATGGAGGTCTCTGTTCTTGATTCACAACCACCTCATCTTGTTTTGACCCTGACTAATCCTGGTTTCATCTGTAGGCCCTTTGTTCTTGTGTGGGAAGAACTAGCAGTTTACCTTCTGAATGCCACTCATGATTATGTAGACCACTTTCATATTACCAGAGACTTCTAACCACAGTCTGTCTGTCTGTGCTGTATAATCAGTCACTAGCAGGAATTACCCCTGTGCCTACAAAATGAATGTCTCCATCTTTAGGTTTAACAGGTTTTCAGACTTTATAAAAACAAAGCAACTGTTGTCATCATTATGGGAAGTCAGACACTCAAGAGGAAATCAGCTCTCTAGAATGGAAAGTTCCCTGACTTTTGTTATTGTTTCTGGGATGTGATGTGTTTTACACTGTTGCTTCATCCCTTTAGCTTTTGTGTTGTCTCAGTACTCCAGTATTGATACTTCCAGAATCAATACTGGGAGACACTTCTTTCTCTCAGACCCTTCTGTTACAGTCTCTGAAACTCGGTGGATTAGGGAATACTCCTTGCTACTCTTTGTAATTGGAGTTGTTAAAATGGTCACCTCAAGAACATTTTATAACACTACTTTTTCTGATCATTGTCCTAAAGGAATGGCATGCCTTAAAGCTTTGCCAGCTGTCTCAAAATCCTTTTTAACATAAGCCAAGGCTAACGCACATAAAAGCACACATTTATGCTATTTAAAACAGACTGCATAGTCACAAAGTTTGCAGGAAAAGTGAAGAGGAACAAAAGAAAGTAATGCACCTCCTTAATTAGCACATGGATGAATTGGCCTCATCCCATGTGGTTGGGCTTCCAGAACAAAAAAGGCATCTCAGAATTCTCCACTGAAAATGCTTGTCCTCATATAATCCTATTTATTCTCATGTTTATAAAACAGACTTGGGGAACCACATTTCCTTTGCTAGTTTAATATTTGTGGGTAGATTCAAGTAAAATCTCTGAATCGTCTGACTTCTGAGTCACTGACTCAGTTCTGGTCTGGCTGGATGTGGATGTGGAGTTCTGACTCCACATAGTTCTCACCTGGCAATAAAATGAATATATTTGGTCAAGCACTGAAGAGTTGTTTACTCAGTGTGAAGCAGTGCTTCTTACTGTTAGGCAATGTTCAAGACCAATTAAACAAACAAACAACAACAGCAACATCAAAACAGTGAAGTCTCTTTACTTACTGGACCTTCAGATATAACTTGCTAATCCAATTTTGTAATATTTCTGAATTAACATCAATGTGGGCTCTAATCCTATGGCATGGTACGAACAGGTCATCAAGTGCAGCAGTAGATAGAAGGAGTTTCTGTCCTCCCTGCACTGCAGTGATGGATACTGTATCACAGTATTTTGAAGGCCATATAGTCTACTCCTGCAACTGAGGAAGCACAAGGGTATGCTTCCCTTCTAGGAAGACTGAATGTGGATAGGACTAATTCAGGACAACCCAGCAAAGATATTGGAATATTGTATCTGTTCCAAGAAAGATAAAATAAATAGTCATTATTAAAAACACTACCAGCAACTAAGAAAATGGCAAATGGAATCATAATTTCTCCTTTCAGAAGAAACAAAATTTGTTTTACAAAGATGAGAAAAATCTAAAATTTTCAAAAGAAGAAGGGCATTGGGGGCATCTATATCACAAGAAATCTGGAAACCAAAAATGTAACAAGGTAAGAAAAAAGACTAATTCATCTGTAACTGAGAACAACTAGAATTGTGCATGTTGTGGATGTCCTAACCCTTTCTTTATTCTTAAAGTTTGGAAGAAGAAGAATTTTTTTCATACAATGCCTGTGTTAAGTGTCTGAACACTCAACCTCTACACAAGTTTTTCAGATGGAAAAGAATAAAAGAGAAGTTACTGGACTAAATGATCCACTTTCTTACTCATTTTGGTATTTCCCCAAGAAGATAAATATTTAATGAACTTTTGAAATGGTTGTTATAGGTTGTTATATCTTCTTTGTTATAGCATTAAGGAAGATCAGAGATCTTAATCATGTAGCACAAAAGGGAAAAACACAGGAAACCTCTTCTACACACATAATGATTTTTCCAGAAAAAAAAAAAAAAATATATATATATATATATATACATATATACATAAATATATAAATATTTATTAAATAATTATTTATATAAATATAAAATATTATAAAAATAATATATATATATATATAAGTATATATATATATTGACATTTTATAGGCCTTAATATGCCTAAAAATAGAGAGAAACATATTTGAGTTTTATGATAATATCTGCTCTCGTAATTTTAAATAAAATAAATGTATATGAACCATTCTCTTCAGTTGTAATCTTGAAATTTCATTGAAAAATTACCATATAAATGTACCTAATTTAACACCTCATTCTTTCCTGCTATGAAGATTTATGGATATCATTACTCCAAGGAATGTTGCTGTTGCGTTGTTCTCATTTTATACTGTCTAAATGAGTGAGAGAAATCTTACATTTTTGAGTTCTCCTGTATTAGCTGAGTCTGAAACTTTAAGGCACAGAGTAAGCCATGGAAAATAAGTTAAATATGTGTTTTGACCTTCTGCTGCTTGTATGAACCTGGCATTTTTAAAAACTTTGTTTTCTACAAGAAATGTCTTCCCAGCAAACAGTCTATGCTCATAGACAAAAACAACGAGAAAAAGAAAAAGCACAATCCAGATGCTTAGACATTGTAATCTATCTTCAGCTTTTACATAGGTTGAGTTTCTGAATATTCTGTTAAACTGCTATAACTGATATAGGCCAGTGTTTTCCTAATGAATGTCATCAATTCCTGTTTCAGGTTGTCAGCAGTCTACCAAGTAGAAGTTATCTCACGCTGGGAACAATGGTGTTTGGTGGGGATGAGCAGCATGTGGCTGCTGCTCCTTGGTCTTTGGTCCCATAACAGAATAGACAAGTTATTAACAAAAGCTTGTTTAAGCACTGCATTTGTCACTTCAGTGCTCAGCAATTCTGGTCATCCTTAACCACAGTTTTTGAGTCCAGTTTATACTCAATCACAGAGAATCTGCAGTCTCTAAGCTGATTGAAATTGTCATAAAGTGCTTCATAGAAACCTAAAGGAATTTTGTTGTGAGCATGTCTGTAATACGGTAAAGTTAGTGTTAGAAGTACTTTAAAAGTTGGAAATAATGGAATTCTCATATAAAAAGATGATGAGGTTCTCAGTGAAGTGAAGCAACATATTTTGCATAATGGAGGACATAACTAAAATGAAATACTCAGAGCTTATTCCTAACGAATGTAAACAAGTTCTCTTTTAATTATACAATTTCTATCACACTGAGTGCATGTTAATGAACAGGGTTGTTTTTTATTGAGTCATGAATTGGAAAAGTGCTTTTTCTCCATGTTAGATTTTCTTTTTCAAAGTTGATTTCAGACTAGTTTCTGTTTGAACTTGCTCTAGAGTTTACCAGATGTTCTCTTTGGACTCCATATTACTGCATCATGTTCATTGGAGTTCACAGATGGGCTACAGATTAGTTCAGTTTCCACTGAACTAATGAAAACCTAATGAAATCCATATATGTACTTAGCATTTGAGAATACAGTACAATATAATACTTTCTGTTACTGTTTGTCATTCATGGTTAAATTGGCAGAGCAAATGTAAGCCTCTGAGAGACAATGCACGTTTGCAAACAGCCAGAAGATTTTTCTTGTCTACTGTCCTATTGTGTGTGTATGTGCCCTGTGATATCTCTTTGTAGCAGATACTGCACTTTTAGAAGTGGATGAGTTTTGCTTCTGTTACAGCTAGTAGAAAAAGAAAACTAAATGTCAGATATGGAAAGTGTTCAAAAGCACGTGTTGAAAGAGTCAGTTGAACTGGAGGATAAGGTAATTGGAGTGGATACAATGTTCAGGAACAATCAATGACAAACCAGGAAGAAATAACAGTAGTGGGCAAATAACCCCTAATACTTCACGCTTCTTAGAGTCTGGCATATGAGTGCTTGGTACAAAGGGTTTTGCAAGATGAAGTCTAACCACAAGACAGACACAAATGGTGTTCCCCAGAGGTCAATACTGTTCAGTGTCTGCAGGGAAGGAACACACCCTCTGCAAGTCCATGGGCAAAACTACATCATGAGGACCAATCAACATGAAAGAAGCCAGGGCTGCAGGGCTGCTGTTCAGATGGATAAGGACAGGCTGGAGAAATAGGCAGATGAGAACTTCATGTAGTTAAATAGAAGCAAGTGTGAAGTCCTACATCTGGGACAGAAAAACACTATGCAGCAGTGCAGGCTGGGGGTCATCTGGAAAAATAAACAAACAAACAAACAAATAAATAAATGAATAGCAGCTTTGCAGAAGAGGACAAAGTGATCCCGGGAGTCAACATATCAAGCACTAATTAGTAGTGTGCCTTTGCAGCAATGAAGACCAACATACTGAGTCATGTTATCAAAAGTATAGCGAGCAGATAAGGAAAATGATTACTTGTTCATTTCCCTCTATTCAGACCTTGTCAGACCACATCTGGAAATGTCCAGGTTTGGATTTCCCAGTACAAGAAAGGTATTGACAAACTTAAGGGTCCAGGGCAAGGCTACCATGGTCATTCAGAGGTACAAGACACACATGTAGGGATTGAAAGAAGTGGGGTTTTGTTTGCTTTTTTTTTTTTTTTTTCTGTTTGTTTTTGTTATTTTTCATTTTTGTTTTGTGTTTTGTTTTGTCTCCCTTGCAGGTCCTGCTCCTATGACATGTCAGGCAGATTCAGACCACCAGTCTCCAGGGCTGCTGACTGGAGCTGGAGCTTCAGCAGTTCTCAGAGTGGGCTGTCCTGTGGTAGGTTTCTGAAAAGCATGAACGTCCTGGCTAACAAGCTCCAGCACTCCTCAGTATCTCATGTGGCAAGCTGTTACAGAAGCCAGGAATGCTGGAGAGCAAGGTGTGTTTCAGAAACATGGACATACTCCTGTAAGTGGAAACAGTGGTCTTGGCTTTTCATCTCCCCCCAAAAAGCCTTTTCAAAATATCATTATTTTTTTTTTTTTTCAGAAATGACGTTAAGCTTCCCAGACAGGTACATGACTGTGCTGAAGATCCATCTGTTTTAGACTAAGCTTTTTAGTATAGTCACAGGGCATACAGTAGTCACTGTATAGCCTATATAGCCTCATCTGAGGCAGAGCTCTCTTCAGATTTTCCAAAGCAATGGGTAGCAAGTACAGTACAGGTATCATAATACTGCTTCCTCTTGTTCTTAAAAAAATAATAATAATAATAATAATTTAAAAAAAATGACTCCACAGTACATTCCTACCTTGTAGACACATGGAAAGACAGATGACCTGAGAAAAATGATGAAAGTAGATTAATATTACAGTTGTGCTTTATACCCTGGAGAAAACACGTGTTTTTGGTGTTCTCTGCTCATGGGAGTGTGTTTAGGGGAATTGAGCACATTTGACTGCATATATCAGTGTCTGCACCCGTTTTTTAATGGTTGTTACTATTCTTTATATGAAGAGTATTTTCTGGGTATTATGAAGCAGTATAATATACAGTGCAGGTGATACTAAATATGATTAACATTTAAATCATTGCAGTCTGACAACAAGGATTACCATAACAAGGAGATGAAGATGTGCAATGCATAAATCAAGTGCAAGCATTAGCCTTTTTAGGTCTTGATCATGTTTAAAGAGAAATATCCACATGTGTTACTCATAGCTCTTTAAATTATAGACATGTTTGCACACCTCTGAGAAAACAGAAGACATTCCTATATCGAGTTAGAGTAACGATATATATTTTCTCTCTGAAGAGTGCTCTACCTCAGTTTCCCAACAGTATTTCTCCTTTCCCTTTTAATTTATTTTTCATGCACAGGACATAAATGACTGGGGCTTAGAATATGACCCAGAAAGTTACTAGGCAAATGGATGTAAAAATTTATACTTTGAAAAACTAATCATCCAAAAAGATTAAACAAACAAACAAACAAACAAAAACATATAAATAAATTGATGACGAACAGAGCATGTGAGCAAGCACCTTAAAACACCCAATTTCAGTACATTAGTTAACATGCTTTTGGTTTTGTTGTTTAAAAGCTTGTGAATCATCTCAAGTTCTTTGTTAGCTGGAAGGAGGTGGAAAGTATTGGGTATGAATGAAGAGAAGAAAAGGAAACTGGCACAAAATTTGGCAGCTGTGGCTAAGGAAAGTATGTTTAACTATTCAAGAATTACCTTAAAAGCCAGAATCCTCAGCTTTGGAGGTCCGCTAATACCACCAAAGTAACAGAAAGAGGACTTCAGGTTACATTAATGCATTATTCAAATAGGATTTATCTTATCCATAACCTTTCCTGGACTGATATACATACAGTAAAGAGATTTCTTGACGGACAGTGTCTTACATGTATACCACAAATGTCAAGTTGGAAGCAGTGAAAATAAGACCTAGGAGAAAATCAAGTTAAAATAGACAAATAAAAACACACCTCTATGAAGTGGCAGTGAATTTATGGAATTTGTAGCTATAAGAGATCATGGAGACAGACTGTGTCAGAAAGTTCAAAAACTAGTTGAGTAGATTTGGTGATACCAGGCTGACAGATGTCAAAGAGAAGGACATAACCCTATCATTCCTCATTCAGTGACTGTATGCTGGGAGCTGCCAAGGATGCACCACAGACAGTGCCCAAGCTTGTGTGTTACCCTGCTGCCAGAGACAGAACACTTCCTTCTGTAGGCTACTGGTTTGTCCATCACACAGCTGTGCTCTTGTGGAGGTGCAGAAAGGTATGTTATACACTCCAGAAACCCCAGAACATCTGGAATAATCTTATGAGATCTTCAACTATGAGACCTCAGCTTATAGTTGAGGTCTTATCTATGTCAATCAATCCTGTCCTTAGCACTGCTGGTTCAGGAATGTCTGCAGTCTGTCCTGCAGAAGCTTCTCCTTCAGTTTCTCCACAGTTTAATGCTAGCTTCTTTATACAAATATGCTCAGCAACTCACAGCAGCCTCAGACTTCTACCTTCTGCAGCAAGCTGACCAATTAACTGGGAACTGCCTTAGCCACATCTCTCTCCTCTGTGATTCTTCTGAGAGAAGAAGCAAATGATGCCTAATGGGAAGAATCATTCTGGTTTGCTGCTTCCTTATGCTTCCTTAATACTGTCACCTCATGCTGACAGTATTCCTGGAGAAGTGCACTACAGTGATCCTCTGGCCTGAACGCAGACCATGTCTTTCCTTTAGTCTCTTGGTTAGCATTAGTGTCAACTCTGTCAAAGAACTCCAGAACTCATTAAGTGACAGAGAAAGTGTGGCCAGTTTCATATTGTCCATCAACTTTAATTACAAACTATTTTCTGCATGGAGAAACTGTTCAGGACAATTATATGAACATGAGAAAGGAGAAAATCACCATAACAAACTGCCTCATTTAACCAGCTATTACTGATCATTGAAAGTATTTCAACTATCATATTTTTTATTCCTCCATCAGAAAATAAACTGTGATATTTTCCACATGAAGCAGCAGCAGAGTGGAAGCACTGCCTTTGCTTAATCTCCTGTTTTTTTGGTCGACATGTAAACTGGCCCCCAGCTTACTTGGAGCCAGCTTTGCTGGCTGGGCTAATGAGGTTTCCAGACCTGCATCCTCTGCCTGTGATGGTTGTTCCTCACACATCTTCAGAGCTCCCAGAATACCAGAGAAGGGGTTGACCTTCAGAGAAGCACATAAGAAAGGGAGTGCAAGAAGATGGTTCTTTATTTACCCAATCTTTAAAGGAAAGTAGTGACCTCTTCAGCTCCAGGACTGTCCTTTCTCATTTCAGGCACAAGTGAATGGTTTCAGTTTTAGTCCTTTAGTGTCTTTTGATAGTGGCTTGGTAGGTACAATCAAATGAACCCTAGAACACAATTTTCTGTGCCAGATTTGGATTCTGAAAACATGCATATTAAGAAATTGGGCTGACCACATATCAAAAGTCATTTGTACAGAAACACAGCCAGAAATTCAAAATATTAGCTTCTGAGGTTTTGTGAAATTAGGAGCAGCAAAAGAGATATGTATTTACTATATTGCTTTCAAAACTTGAAAAAAGATCATTGAAAACAAGTCTACATTGATTCTAAATTACTCTAATGACTCTAACGTATCTTTTAGCGTACTTGAAACTTATTATTGGAACATATAGATGGACATTAAATGATGATCAAAATCTGCAGCATCTGAATCTCCAATACTTATACCAAATTCAAGGAACACTTTAGACTTATCAGTGATACTAACATATATCTTAGTTGCCTACTGAAGTCTTTTTGTGGGTTTAACTAACTGCTATCTTCATTTTACATGCAGCATTGCAAAAGGCAATCGCATAGTGATGCTACTCATTTAGCAACTATGGGCTTCTAAAACACTATAAGTATCACTACTGAATTTAGCACAGCTGAATATCACCTTGTTTTATTGACATACCAACACAAATGAAGCAAACAAAATTGTGCAAGTACTTTAAGGAATGTTAAGTTATGATCTTGTAGAATCCCAAACTAGATATTTTTAGAAAAAGTAGGCTGAGACTCATAAATTCATGAACTGTCAATGAAAGGGTGACAAAAGACCTAACTACTTTATGAACTCTGAGGATATTTAGAACATTCAAGCCTGTTTTGCTACTTTTGTAGACACATAAATGTATTTTTGAACTGAAAAGGCCTTGGTAACTGTCTGGAAGTCCACTTGTATAATTCTTCATCTTAAAAGTACCACAACTTATAGCTGACGCTTCTACTACAACCTCTTTTGTTTGTTTGTTTGTTTGTTTTTTAGTTAGTTTGTTGTTTGTTTGTTTGTTTGTTTGTTTTTTCCCTATATGCATGAATTAATGCCAAAATATCAAAAAGATGCTCTTTTTCTTTCTAATGGGTTATGCTCAACAACAGTTTCCCAATAACTTGTTAACTCTGCAGGGATTTCTTCTCTTTAATTTTCCAATGACAAATACAAATAGCAAAATGTGACCCCAGTTGTACTCATTGCTATTTATTCAGGTCATTTGAACTAAAATACTAAGATCTTTGAAAAAGAATTTTTGTGGGAAAGGGAAAAAAAAAAAGTCATAACACTAATATGAGAAATCAGATCTAGTTAAATCTTGCCTCTTTACATTTTTTTTTTCTTTTTTAAGGATTATATCCATTTTTAAAAGCAATAGATCCATTACAACAGCTCCTCAGCCTTAAAACATACAAGACTTCATCCAAAGAATGATGAGATACTAGAAGCACACACGAAGAAGTTTTTATACCTGCACAAATTCACACAGAGTATTTTCCAACGTATAAATGGTGGTCATAGCTAATACTTGGGGCAACTAGGGAAAAGTATTTGACAATTTTTTTAAAGAGGTCTTAGAAATGTTAAATATTTTATAATCTTTCAAAGGAGCTAGTTTTCAATAGCTCCTCCAAACTCATGTGTACGCTTATGCATGAATTTTCAAAAACAAAAACCTCTATCCTATTTTTTTTCCTGGATTTTCTTTTTGTTATTTTCATACCTATGCATCTCCTCTGAAATCACAGTCACAGAATGGTTTATGAAGCATGGCAGGGATCATAAAGATCATATAATTCCACCCCCCCTGCCACGGGCAGGTACACCTTTCAATAGACCAATTCGTTCAAAGCCCCATCCAACCTGAACTTGAACATTTCCAGGGGTGTGGCTCCTCTGGGCAACATGTGCCATTGCCTCACCACCCTCATAGTAAAGAATTTCTTCGTAATATTTCTTCCTTCTAAATCTAGTCTTTTTTGGTTTAAAACTTGTGGATCACAGAATAAGTGAAATTTTCTTCTGCACTCATTTTTCAGAGTGAACATGTCAGGACTGGTATGGCCATGTTTGACACCACCTCAGAGAAGGAGAGTGGAAGTAGTAAGCCCTGATATCTCTTAATTTCTTTGATTCTCACCTGTGGTTATTTGGCCTCAAAGAAACTGCAATTCAACTCTGATGTTTCCCATTCTTTTTATATTAACCAGACTGTGACTTTTAGAGTGTACCTGGTGCTATGAGACCTCCATGTTCCATTAAAGGAGATCAAGTTTAGGAAGTTTAATTTGAAGAATTAAAAACAGCCTGTTAAACAAGATAGTGGCACAGGTTTATGAAGTAAAGCCTCTACAAGACAATGTAACACAGTGATGAAATGTAGTGCAATGCTGAAATTATTATTGGCATTTTTTTTCTAAAAATCTGACACTACACATAAAATGTTTCAAACGTGATGGTAAGAATCAGACAGGCTTGGTTTAGTTTTGTGAGTGTAACTGAATTCAACTCTGGATATATTTCAGCATGGTGAATCTGTCCATTTGCCACATGAGCTGCTTTGATTTGGGATTTTTACATGTTTAAGGAAAATAAATCTAACCATTATGTATAATGTTTTTATTCAGAGCGTGCCATTTTAATTAATCCTTTTAATACAGGAAGCTGGACCATCTGAGACACATACAACCTGAGAATCAAGGAAGGGACTGAAATGGACTGTCTTAGGCCTCCTAATATTATTACAGCTCTAAGGACAAGAGGCACACATTTAGCTACCCATTGAATCAACGGAAAGCAGTAGGCCTCTTCACTTCATTTTACAGATGTTTGGTTAAATGCCTTATGTAATTGAAGTAGAGAGTGTGAATACTGCTTCTGATAAGAATACAGCTATATAGTCCCAAGCAATATATACTGGAGTGATTATGGAAGATAAGAGGACTCAATGGAACCATATCAGCATTCAAAAGATGGTGTCTAAAAGTCCCCAGAAACATTCACCATTCTGTAAAAACAGCTGATTTGGAAAGACCCTATTTGTATCCTTTAATTACATTTCCCACGTTCTGCAGTAAATGCCATTCCTTTGAGAGAGGAACCTTCAAGCCTGTGTCACTGGGATCAAACATTCAAGAAATGTGATGGGGGGAAGCACAGGCATCAGCAGATGGCAGCTTGCTTAACCCAAGCACCAGATGAAAAGCAAATGTATTAAAAGCTCTGACGTCAAAAGACAGGCATCTTTCCAAGAGAAATTCTGTCAGAACTTCATATAAATCAAAAGACAGATTGTGAAGCTTTTTATTGGCAATAGCACTTGTTCATGAAGTAAGATAAATGAGTAGGGAGCAGAAAGGTAAGCCAAAAGGCATCTTCATTTTGCAGACCTTGCCTTGCAGCTCTGGAATTTCCTGAACTGACAATTGTTAAGAAAAGCCAGCGATGCTGTATTCACATTCACAATTAACTGCTAAGAAAAGAAAATTGCAATCACAAGATTTGCTTGCTAAGTAGATATTTAATTTGAATTTGAAACAAAAAGGTACTTTTTAGCCTGCTTTGCACATCTCTTACTGTGGTTAGAGCCAGAACCTTAATGCCAAGTAAATTTAAAGCTGCTCTAAACTACTTATGCATTTGGATGTCTTTCTCTGAGTATTATGGTGGCATAAAGCTCAGCCAGGAATGAAAGTTCTGATCATGGGTTCAAAAACTCTCTGGAGACATTTCCAGACTGTCGCTTCTAAGATAATTGGAAAGTAGACAAGTGTTTCAGTAACAACAGTCCAAGGGACAATCTGTCCTCAAAATCACTCCTGCAGACAAAATGCATGATGCATAATGCTATTTGCCCAAGCCTAGATTGCTTCTCCAAGAGAGAGCTACAGCCAATACCTTAATATGAATCTTGAAGTATGTAAACCTTATTGCTTTTTGAATG